ATGTAATAATTAAGCATTATCTCAAAACACATTGAGGGAGTTCCTTGAGGACGCCCTTAGTTTTATTATTTATAATATATAAAAAGATGAAAATCCAAAGCCTTTATTAATATATATATTATCATTATTGATCAAATGACAATCTGAATTGCATATACTTCTGTCACAAATATTCATATAAAATTTATTAGTGAAAAAAAAATTTTTAAGCACTATACTAAAAATTGAAACTATTTATATTTCATATGTTTGAATAATATCATTTTTAAATGTTTTTACTTTATATATACAGACCTGATAAGCAATAGTTAAATTTTATACTTCCTCAGGTCAGAATATACTAAAATGCTTACTGTTTTTTTTTTAAAACAAAACCTGATTAACCAAGTCTGGAGATAGTCGAGTATGCTTTGCAGAGATATAATTACTCATATTTGAGAACAATCTCTCGCTGAGTACAGACATGGCAGGAATTGATAGATATTTTAATGCAAGTCATGACAAAACTAGAAACTCATTTTTGTTTGCATTCTACTACTTTAAAGGATCCTGATCAACATCTATCTGCCGATACTTTATATAATGTGTAATTTCATCCTCCTTAGCTAAAAATGAACTGCCTAATTCTTTACATTCTAATTTTTGAAAAAAATCATCATCATTGTCATCTGCACAATTATGAGTAGGTGTTGTTTGTTGAGCTGATTGAGAATAATTATCTCCAGTTTGAAAATCTTTTGCAGAATCGTATTTAATTTGCAATAATTTAAGTGATGCATCTTTTTTTTTTACCTGTATTATCCCATTTAAAATCTTTAAATCGAGGATTGAGTATTGTAGCAATTTGAACCAATTCCGATTATGCTGATCACAACTCATCAAGTAATAAGAAAATAGCTGCCCGAACTTTTTTAAGAAGACCAGTAGTATCGATAGCTGGTAAATACTCAACATTATTGAAATCATCTATATCCTTTTCAGAATTTTCTTTCCTGGTATTTTTTTTATGTCTATAGGAGCTATTTGCTTTTTCTTTACCTTTTCTTCTTTCTTTTTCTTTAGTTAACCACATTTTTTGTCTAAATTGGTGATGAGCATATTGCCAATATCAACGTGAACCACCAGATTAAATTTCATCTCCTTCACTTGTTGAACTATCCGAGTCTTCTATTTCTTCATTATCACTTTCACTTTGTGGCCCATATATCAAATTGAGGTACATATTATAAGTTTTTTCACTTTTATAGTTAGGTTCAAATGATTTTTTTAATAATTCTATATAAGGATGAACGAAACTTAAAGTATAGTATTTTGCTCCACATATTCGATATGTTATTTTTTTAAATAGTGATAAAAGTTTCACCACATCTTGAAGAAATCTTTAAAAAATAAAAAAAATAATAAATCAATTAAAAATAAAATAAATTAAAATTTTTTTTTTTTTTTTTTTAGTATTAAGGTAACCTCTCTAGTCTGGGGAACTTTTTATTAAAGTATAGACGAAGTTTTATATGTAATTACAATGATGGTACATCAAGCCACACGTGCACCTTTTGAGTGTCTATTTAAATAGTCCGCCCAAAGGTTCTACACTATCTGCCGTACCTGCGCCCCAACTAGGGGGGTACCCATTTAAACCATCTGGTTCTAACTACCTC